GGCTACGAGGGTTTGTGCCTCAACCAGGTATCTCCTACTAGGAAAGTACCGCCCCAGCCGGGTCAAGCTCTAAGCTCTCAACCGGTCTCCGGACATATACTCCGGTAGCGTAGTGCGTGTAAGTGTGTTTATCTAATGAGTAGTATAGGACAAGGAATGGGAAGGTAAAATTGCACGCGGTCGGAGAAACACCGGAAAACAACCAATCAGAGCAGCTAGCCTCCAGAATTCTGCTCCAGTCAGCGACAGAACACGACCTAGTTGAAAATCCTTCCACCGCCGTCGGGACCCGAACCAAGGGCCTCCCGGTTGGAAGTACTTCAGTGATACCAGTTCATGCCGTGGACTACCTCTTACGATACTAAATATTTAATATTACATGTTTTGGAAGTAAATTTAGTGAAAGATTCAAATCTGATATTAGTATCCATTCTTTATTAAATCCGTCTTAGCAGTGTGACAAAATTGTTAAATTTCTATGTTTTACAACATTAAATATATAATTTTCTTGGTTGTTGAAAAATTCACATGTTTATAATGTTAAATGTATTTATTGTTAAGTATTGTAAATTGTTAAAAGGCAATTTTATGAAATATTGTGATGTAATCAAATATGTAACTTTTTTATATTGTAAATTGTAAAAGAGATTTTAATCTCTTCTGACCGTGCAGATGTAGAGCGATCTAAAATAAATTGAATAAAACCAACGAATAGCTTAACGTAAAGAAACATCAAAAAAGTAAATATTCATTTGCCAAAACTTTTAATGTCAATGATTCCAAATCGTGGAAAGTGTTCACAACCAACGTACACATGATTAATAATAAATTATGCTCTGGATTTTCGGAGTACTATTTACACGATTTTTATCATTTCAAACTACTCCTAAATTCGCTAGAAAAGCACGCACTTTCTTCTATTATTAGGAATTCACATATATTGCAATTGTACCTTCTATCCTAACGCATTAGCCGCCATTCGAAAAATGCAAACAATATAACTCAAAATTAAGCAAAACCCACACATTTTTGAAAAACTGTACGTGAAAGGGTTTTAAGATCTAATATGGAAAACTGTAAATTCAATGATTTCCATGATGTGGAAATTCTCTCATAAGAGATTACTCTAACTTCACTATTACAGGTGAAGGATAAGTTACAAGAATGGACCCCACTGTAACTCAAAATTATCTAAAAACTAAAATTCTCAAAAACATTTATTTTAATTAATTTAAAGATGAAAGACGAAGAATAGATTGCGTTATAACAATAACTATAGTTTGAGCATCTGAGGAACAATTTGAATTTCACATTTTTCAAAATTTCAAGTATTGAATGAAAACTGTAACTATACCATATTGTTAAGCAAATACTATTCTATTTCAGCAGAAAAAATAAACCGTTTTTGTTCAAATCATCTTTAGTTATTGTTTCTAAATGTCACTATTTCACTCAAAAGTATACAACATATTTTGAATAAAATTAACAACATTAATTAAAGGTCTTATTTAGTAAGAACAGTCATATTAATTTCTATCTGTAGTAATGTAGGGGTCGAAAAAATGTTAACGTTTGGCGCGCTGTCATGCGGACATGTAAGCCGGCGTTTGAAAAGGCAATGAACGTAACAGAATACTACAGTAAAATTAGTTTCGTTTCACATCCTTGGAATTTACACAACTATTCGGTCATTCGCTAGGCACACGACGCGTCAACTTACAGTTTATTCTGGAGGGCGATTTCTTCCAGGCGCTTGTGGTCAGTCACCCGTCGAAACAGCGCGGCAGCAAGGAACAAACAAATCTCACCGAAGGTCGCTCGTCCACTGACTGCTCCAGGCAGCGTGGTCGTTTACGCTATATGCCCTGACCATCGTGACGTAATGAGTCACGTGACTCGCAGCCACAAGGAAATGCCGTCTGTATCGGCAGGTAGAGCTGGCCTGTGAAGGTCACGGGCAATAACCAGTTTTCTGGAATTCGCGGGCACTACGTTCAGTGCAATCGCAGAGTTTTTTTAAAGTAAGCGTTGTACGAATTGCGCCATGCTAGGAGTCCATCACTCTACAGGGAGAACCACCTCAGTTGGCCACAGAGAATACGTATCTTCGAAACCGTTTAAGGTATCGTGATGCGATGTTGTTGTAGGTGTAGGAGAAATAACACTTTTAAGGTATGGACATATATTTGTTTTTTAAATAGAGTTATATACTTCTTACCACCAATATAAAATACCCTAATGCAATAAAATGAGAAGTGTTAATATTAGGGAATAAACTAAAGAAAAAATGGGTTCTATATTCCATCAGAAGCCACGCTTCCAGAAATTTCCGCTTTTCCAGCGCCTTCGGGAAAGCAGGATGTCTGTCCTACGATGGCACTACTCCCTCTAGTTCGAAATTGAAACACAAACTTCGTATTTTTAATGAAATTTTAATTATTTGTTGTGCTTTCTTCCATTGACCTCCTACTTACATGTTCATGTCGTTCTGTATTGACTTCACGCTTAATTAGCTAGTCCTTTGTTTCTAACTTGGGTAGAAAGATAATAAAATTTGATTTACTATTCCACAACGAAATGCGTTTATTGACCAAACAATTAGATAATGAACAAGTGGACAAGAATGCAAGTAAAAATCCTCATATTACTTGGACTCACTCGCAACTATTTAAGTGTGTATTTGGTCTTTAGATCATTTGATTATTAATTTTCGCGTTCTTACATGCCTTTTTCTTTACATTAATAATTTATTCTCTACTTAAACACATCTTAACATTTTGTACGAATTCACTTCACTTCTATCCACCCTTATCCACCCTTCCCTTATAATCAAAGGCGTTCAAAGTAGAAATAACCGATATTGGACCCTGCTATTACTCACCAAATTAAACTATTTTAATCGCAAATTTGCATCAGATTAAGTTAATTGTAGGCTGTTAAATACATATTGTAAAACACCATTGTCCTTTGCACGGCGTCAGCAGGCTTTACATCATACTTAGGCTGAGTCAAGTGCCCTGTTGACATGCGAGAGCGAGATCACACACAGAGAAGTAGAAAAACAAAAATACCCCAAACCGTTTTGAAGATATTCGTTTTGGCCAACTGTGGTGGTCTACCTGTCCCCCTGACCCAATACTCTCTGTTTAAGTCACTTGACAGTTATGGCTTAAGATGTAGCACCATTCTTTTTCATTTCATTTACGAAAGCAAATATATAATTTATAAATAGATTTGTTCTGCAATTTCGTATTAAATCATTGTCTCTATGACAACAGTGATCACTTCTTTCGCAGTCAGACCTATTTTAACATTATATCTAACACTGAGAGTATGTATCAGTCATCTAATCAATAATTTTGATTGATCCTTAAATTGACCCTTTAATGGTCAGAATTTAAAATAACATCTATCAGCAACCACAGACCCTTTGATTACTTCAGAGTTGACTTTTCCAATTTCACTACTTTCTCAGAACTTTTCTTGTTTGTGTGACTGTATATTAACGACTATTGTGTAATAAAAGTGAGGAAGCTCTAAATCCCGAACGTTATCACCTTCAACACACCGGGTTACAACGGACTATCAACGTACTATGTTCTCGTGTCAATATCAGACGTTCACTCGAAGCACTATGCAATCTTCGTACTTTACCGATATCCAATATCAGTGTTTAACTCACAAACCATTACTGGGCACTTTGCTATATTGCAATATTCATTCTTGCAAATAAAAATTAATGTGTTGGGAACCGCGCAAGAATTGACGCCTTTTTAGTTACACATTTCTATGACATCCTTTGTTCTAAAGGCAGCGAATTTTGAACACTAGTTAAATAGTAGAAGTCAAGTAGTGGCCGGCAACTCTTATCGATAGTTTTCCTCGTTTTTCCAGAATAATGCAAGAGTAATATCCTGACAAACGGGCCTCAGACTGTACACAATTCTTCATTTCTCATCCTTGACTCCTACTTCACCCTTACCCTCATTTACAAACGTTACTCATGGCTGGGTACCAGTTTTTTGAGCATGGATCGACTGAGAAGGTGCCTCGTTGGGGAAGAAACCTGAAGAAAGAAACCTCGCCATCCTACGTGTAAGAACCGGGAGAGGTAGTTCAGGGCATCAACTGATGTCACTACATTAACCCTCGCCGGGAATGTCCTATGTTCCATTTCCGACGGTGGCAGCATTTTCGACAGTAGAGAGAGAGCTAAGATGAATTCTGTCGCTGTCTGGAGGAGAATTCTAGTGGAGGGCTGCTCTGATTGGTAATTTTCCGTGATTTCTACGATCAGTATAAGGCGAATGCCTGGGCAGTACCCGAAGAAACGCGGACGATCTTTCCTTCTCGTTTCTTGTCCAATCCTACCTCTTATTTACACACACACACACACACACACACACGCCGGGAGACTGGTATGGAGCTTTGAGCTGGTGCCCGCTGGGGCGGTGGCCCGCTGGTGAGAGGTACCTGGTTGAGGAAAACCCCACTAGGTCAACGCTGGATCTTGCCATCCCAAGGGGGAAGATCTCCGTCATATCCTAATCAAAAAACATGCACAACAGGTACGGTAGTTAACAAGCTCAGAATCAGTATCAATCAATAAATTTACATGTAAGTCAGCGTCAAATCCCACGTTCCTATGAATCAACGTCCCTACGTGGTTACGATGTTACCCGTGCATCGCATCAGATGAGCAGCCTCCGCGTGTCTTCCCCTGCGCTGCTGCGCTGCCGCGCGTCGCTGTCGTACGCAAATCGCTCGTTAAGGCGCGGGGGCGGCGCCGCTTTGCGGGCGACGGGGGCGCGGCGCGGGCGGCGCGGCGCCACCCGGAGGTAATGAGCCACGCGTCACTACGCACACTGCTCCCGAAGGGCCCGTTTGGCGTCCAAAATTACGGCATAAGGGATGGAAATGGTTATTATCACGATTAGGCCGACAAATAGCAAATAACAGACGTGGATTGTAAAGCGAGAGGAAATACAACGTTTATAACCAAACGAGTTTGTTATTTGAATTATTGACCGCGTTTCGTTCAATGCTTTTCGTAATACCATATTCTTGTAAAAATCAAATAAAAGAACGATTTATTGGCCTTACGCCATCCTTACGCCATCGCAAGGTACAAGCCACTAGTCCCGATTATCCCAATGGACGGCAGAGTGTTAAATGGATCCGAGCTATTAAGTAGCATTTTGTTTCTCAGATAGGTTACGGTAAGTAGGCATAACAGTACATTATTACGGATTTTTTTTACTTTAGTTGTAAAATAATTGTGTCTAAAAATCTTGTTTAAATGGCCCATAACATATAGAACTTTCACTGTGATAAATATTTCGATATCAACAGTTCTTCTTTCGTATGAGCTGTTGTGCATTCATCCGGCTGAAGTCCGAAGTATGCATCGAAGCCGATTTGCTCTTTATCTGCCTACTTTGTGTATTGTGAACATTAAGGGGATAATTAATGAATTAGCCAGATTTGTACATGAGCCGGAATATTAAGATAAAAGACGTTTAAGGCCAACATCGACAGAGACAAAATATAACTCACTGATTTTAAATGAAAACATGGTACATACAAAAACAGCATTAAAAGAACGAAAAATATAAAGCGATGGTAATGAAATTGAAAATGGTAGTGTAGATTATAAGTGATAGATCGTTAAATATTAAAGTAATTTGATTCACAGCTCGTAGGGATATGAAAACCAACACCAGTGCACTTAAAGAAAAGTAATCAAGCTTTAATAAAACTATTCAAAAGTATATATTGCAAATTTAGAGAAAATGTCATGTTTTCCTGGAATTAAAACAAGGCAAGAATTGTTAAAAATGCAATTTCGGGCATTTTTCACCATGGCAAATAAACGTTCAAAGTACACAGTACGTTGGGGATAATTTAATGAATGAGAAATTTTTGTATTGCTTGAAAAGTAAATTTCAAAGCCTATGTATTAAAAGCGGTCACTCGTTGAACTTTTTGGCTTGTAAAAACGGGGAAATCTATTCGACGCCGACGGTGCCGTATGGAGCCACTGCGCCCCGCTGCACGTTTTTTGACAGCCGCCGAACCAAATGAGGCCTTTGAGCGCGTGGCCCGTGCGGCCTGGCAAACAAGCGTTACACATCCCTTCGCCTAAACGATCCCTTTTTCAAACGCGGCGGGTTTTGGCCACGCTCGCTTTCATTACTTCGCCACGTCGCGTCGCCGCGCGTGGGCGGAAGTGAAGACTCGGAGGTGAAATGCTTTATCCCCGTCCGGAAGAGGAGGCAATATAGTGGATTAAAAAAAATTGCGGTTCGTTTATGACGTTGTCATCTGTTTGCTCTAGGTACTAAATCGTTATGCTCTTGAGTCAGAAAACTTAAAGTGGCATAATCGAATGGAAAGCGTGGACTGCTCAATGGTTTTGGATATGAAATTTGTTGATGAATGAGTGGAACATGGTGAATTCAGAAACGCAGTTTGTGGTAATGGTTACATCGAGAAAATACAGAGATTATTCGGGTAGATAAGCATGGTTACGAAGATTAAGTAATAAATTTGAATTTACTATAGTGTCTCAGAGAACAAACTGTATAGAATTGATGGATGGTAGTGAGAGCACGTTAATAGTAGTTTATCAGTTAGCAACCTTTTAACAGAAAGAAAGTTATTAGCAACTTAGTTTTGTAACTGATTTATTTTAAAAACTGGAAATCTTGTGCCTTCCGTAATAATAAAACTATTGTTGGTCATATTTGGTATTTAGACATGGTTCTGTGTTTTTCATCGCCGACGAGGAAATTTGTGACTGCTTCCGTGCACAGAACAATAAAGAAGTGCACCCTCAATGTTAAACGTCGCCGGAAACAAAAGTCGTTGTAGCACTCCAAGTGACCTGGCAAAGAACCACATAAACCGCCCGCCCAGCGCAGTGTGTGAAAGTTAATTTCACTCAATCGTCTTCACGAAAGTTCATGGATATTTATAAACTACTTTCTACTGCAATTTTTTAAAAATATTTTAATTATCTATTTCTGTAATGCAGTTGGGTAAGGTCATAATTGAGGAGAGTCATCTAATTATATGGTAATGGCAGAAATGAAGGAATCAAAATGAATAAACTAAGAAATATATAAATAATAATTGCTTTAATTGTACAATTTATATTAAACAATATTCAATACAGACACCAACTTTTAAATTTTGTTCACCTTTTCATGGCCTTTTGTATATTTTTTTTTAGTTTGTAACCGTTTTCATCTATATTTGTATATTAAGAAACGTACACACTTTGTAAAAATAAGTTCTTGAGATAAATGCACTTAACAAAACAATGTATCATCAGGTGATTTGGAATTAGAGCAAAACCTTCTCTCCAAATTATTTAAATGGCCATTTGTTTTCTAGAAATGTATACAAATATTCATGAACATTCTTTAAAAACATTACATTAAATAACAAATCGTAATAAATCATTACATTACATAACAATAAAATACATGTTTTCCTTACAGTGTTATGTGAATACAGTAGGCTACAAATTTCATACAAATAATCGTGAATGACACTTTACATTAAATGCTAACCTCCACGTTGCGAAACATCCTTGTATTCCACTAAGACCAGCAAATTCAAATGGAGAAAACGCGAAACTGTTGCGATTGTGTCCGCTAAAACAAAATATCTTGAAATGCGAAACACACACATGAACACACACAACAATAAAGGAGCTCATTAACGTAACTAACGGCAATATGATTCACTCTTCTGTCATGCGGAAATCACATGCAGGCTGGATGTGACAGACAAAAAACAAGCGAAAACCACTAACCAATCTTTGCTTGATATTCTTTCAACTAGCGCTCCCAGTGGCCTGGCAGTGTGTTGACAATTTCCGTATCTCAGCTTCACCCCTAAAGAATCTTCCGAGTGCCTTCGAGTTGGTGCAAGTGCTTCAAGCGCTTCAGCAGCAGCAACAGAAAGTCGTGCAGCATCAACAGCTGTGGCAGCAGCATCCGTTGCAGATCCAGGACGAACCATGCAAGGACAACAGCAGGAGGCTCTGCTCGATGAGTTAGAGGCGGTGAGTCGCACCGCGTATGCCCCCTCCGTTATCGGTATTTCAATCTCACTGGGAGAGTTTGACATTGTGTTGACAGAGTAGAACGACATTGGTTGCGCAATGCGGTTGTGAGGGAAGAGAACAAAGACAGAGGGTTTCTTAGGTGTTGTAGGTAGGTATTCCGCGACCGTATTACAGACGTGTGAGGAGCGTAAGGTTTCAAAATTCTATGGGACATAAATAACAGAAGCACTACATGTATATTATGTTAAGAAAATTGTGACAGGTATATATTTTCAAAAGAGATAAAAGCTCTATTGATTGATTGTTAGTAATTTCGGACGCGTCAACTGGCAAGGTCATTGGTTCCGTAAGTGTGGTGCATATTTTTTCCTCGGGAGGTGGCAGCGAACTTCACCTGCTGGCCGGCGAGATCTTACCGACAGCTAGCGTGGATTTTCTCAACGTGAATGTCCTAGCAGCGAGGCACCGCCCCACCTGGCACAAACTCAGTGATAGTGTAGTGCATGTAGGTGCATGCGTGTGTAAATAAGGGGCGAGAATAGGCCAAGAAAGTGGAAGGAAAGGTCACGCGCGGTCCGTTTGTTAGGGTACTGCTCCGGCATTCTCCTGGTGTTGATCGAGGAAACCACGGAACACTACCGACCAGAGCAGCCGGTCGATAGAATTCTCCTCTTCGCTACTGTCAAAAAAGGAAACTCGATCAGCATAACAGAATTGAAAGGACTAGCGTAAAAATTTAATTTCAAGTATCAGGCCTAAAAGGGGGGAAGGTCGTATGCAGTCAGTGATGAGAAACGTAGTAAGCTTACTTACGCCTAAGAAAGTAATACATTTGAGGCACCGAAAAATGCAAATTGACCATTAGAAGAAGTGCAACGAGTTGCTGCCACGTGCGACGCCAGGCGAGATACGTCGCGACATATTACAGGTGACAGACAGACAAGTACGATAGAGCGCAGTGGAAGGCGGCGCAAAGGAAGCAGCTCGGAATCGGGACAGGGCGATTACGGGTTTTCAAGTCAGTGTCACGCTGATAAGAAAAGTAACTGGCGGCACAAGGGCGCAGGCAGTGACAGGGGCAGAGGTAGTAAATGTGCTTCCGCTGATAGTGGAAGAGGTAGTAAAAGGAGTGTAAGGAAGTCGGTTATGAATTTTGTTAAATTTCAATGAAGAGAAAATATTAATTTCAAAAACGCAGAACCATTGCGTAACATTAAATATTAAAGAGCTGTGTGGGGGGACCCAAACAGTAAGCCAAAAAGGAGTAGAAAAATAGGATGTGCAAGTAGACACGGTAGGCCATGTGTTGAATCACGGAAGGATAAAGTAGACTACCAGTGGGATTACAATGAAAGATACATAGAGGATGTGCAAGTAGACACGGTAAACCATGTGTTGAATCACGAAAGGACAACGTAGACTACTAGTGGGATTACGATTTGACAAACAAGAGACGCTTTTTCTAGTGTACACAAGAGCTCCTTTTACTTTAATGTAGATACATACAAAGTATTAGTGGCACCGGTAGTTAGCAAGTTGATGAATCTATATTTGAGTTTGAAAGAAGTCTCATAAAGTGGTTAGCAAGTTTATTATGCAAGGTAAAAATAAAGACTGAAAAGCAGTCTTCGGATTGATTGTTGTGGGCAGATGACATCACTAATATTTGAAACCTAGTTAGCTTCCATATAATGGGTTCCAGTGTGGTGGATCAAGTCAGTGCAGTGTCTCAATGGCCGCAGTTGGCGTTAGTGGAGAAACTAATAAAAGCTTTTTCAAAAATATTTTATTCATATTTAGGATAATATAAGACATTTCAAGAACATTTAGACCTCAAAAAATACATAAATCTAAGTTTTTAAAGCCAAACCTGTGCCTTAAGACATTAAGAGCAAAGTGAAATGTGAATTGCGTTGGTTAGAACAGAATATCAACTAGCAAGTGAGCAACTCATCTGGATGTGATCAACATATCAAATGTGGAGGTATACGCTTTTGAGGAGATAATAAGTACCCGGTTGATGAACAGATTGACATTGCTCAATATCTCACAACCAACCTTGAATTATTAAAAAACTAGTGAGAGGTCAGCAATTTACAAAAAATGGCTTTAAAGACCGAGTATTTGCAAATACCGTAGGGTGAGAGGTGAAGAAAGTTTTGGTAGTGAACTCATTTTAGGCGTATATTAGTTTATCCGCCTGCCATTTGGGGTCGCGTACACAGCCGTCATCATTGAGAGGGGATCAAACAAATTACATGACGAGTAGAATAATGTGTCAACTATCTGGATAACATCATACTGACGGAAAAAAACTTGGAGAAGCACGTCAACAATCTATAGAGCTTATTAGCGGTGCTTGAGACAAGTGTTTTGAGAGTAAACTGAAAAAAATTTGAGTTTTGTTCTCATGAACAGGTTAGTTTCTTGGAACACAGAGTATAAGGTTTGGGTATTGCACCCACTCAACTTAGGGAGAGATAATAAGGCAGTTGCTCGGGGTTAGTTCTTGATCAGAATTCTCGCTTTCCCGTACACGGCCCCGGGTTCGATTCCCGGTCGAGCCAAGACTATAGTGTACGTTTTCCTTGCAACGTACCAGTATATATTGCTCTGTGACGATGAGAAAATTCACTTCTCAGGTTGAGAAGACCGGAATACGGCGTGGAGATGCCTACGTGCTAATCACAAATACCCATCCCATGGCCGCGAGGTATGGACGTCGCCGGTAGGCCTGAGCCCCTTTCGCGCCAAGTACATTTATACATACAATAAGGAAGTTACCACTATCGGCCAATTTAAAGCAACTCCACGCTTTACTGGACTTGCGGCACGGAGGGAACAGACTGTATGATTACGCCACCACACGAATAACATATCAGATACAGTGTGGCTAACGTGGATAGGTAAGAGTGTATGTCAGATCAAGAGCTTAAGGACAGATCATTGGAACATGTAATTGACAGGGAATGTTTCCAGGAAACGCGACCAGGGTGAGCAACAGAGGAGCCACCCGAAGGAGCCGTCCAGCCATAATCAGCTGATTGGGGGTGGAATCGCGACTATCCCGAGAAAGTGACGCTGAACAGCGCGGTTTGCGCCCAACTAGACCTTTTCAAAAGGGGAATGTTTTCCATGAGTTGCACATATTTATATAGGTGTTGTGGTGCGTTATCGTTGGCATTTTTCATGAAATAATTATGAACGTTGTCATTGCCAACAATAGTATTTATTGCAAGAGCAGCTTTCAATGGCTTTGCCATCATCATCAGTTGTCTGCTGAATGGAAGCTTCCTTCCATTCCTTACTTCCATTCAGCAGACAACTGATGATGATGGCTAAGCCATCGAAAGCTGCTCTTGCAATAAATACTATTGTTGGCTATGACAACGTTTGTAATTATTTCATGCACATATTTAAATCAGCCACGTCCATGTGCATATCATGCACTCGAGGACACAGACGGGTTATAAATTGTTCTTTTCGTAACAGTAAAACCAATGTTAATCATACAACTAGGGTACCTGTTATGATTTAACCATCAATAATAAAAATGCCTGATTTAAAATGAGGCAAATGCTAGAGCATGTTTTATGGACACGTAAGAGGAATGAGACAAGGATGTTTATTTAGGATACTTCAAAGAGTTCTGAGAGAAGGTGACTGGTATGAAAAACAATGATTTACTCCTGAATATACGCTGAAATGTAGTGATTTTTGTCAACCGCGGAAAGAAAATGATGCTAACCCTTTATAAGGCAGAGAGTAGGCAATTAACATTTTGGATTTATTTTTGCATAATGATGTTTCTAGGACGGCAAATAACAATGTCCAGGAGTAAAAAGGATTAAATTGGTGCTTTTGACCATCTACATAGGGTAGAACATATGTGTACCATTGACTATAAAATAAACAATCGTACTAGTGACTATAAATGAAATCATGGTACAACATAGTACCACAAGGTTTCCTTTTTATTTATCTTCTAAGATATCTTCTCATTTTATGTGCTTTATTTAAAAGTAATTTTTGTTCAATATTCTGTTTATGTTCATATTCATTTTATATTTAAAAATCATCTGCATTTTCAAAAAATGTTGATAAAAAGAATATGCGTTGCTAATGCAATGTCTGGATATAATGCCGGGTAGATAATAAATACTGATTCTATAACGCCACACACACTGTCTCGATTATTACTAAATAAGCGATTTACAAAGAAAATAATATATGTGGTTTTGTTTTAATCGTTCATTGTTCTGCCTGTGGAAAAATATTTGAAGAAAACATTTAGAGCAATTTTTAAAATAATGTACTTTTCATAAATTGCATTACTTCCCAACACAAATTAAGCAAAAACTACTCGCTTTTAAAAAAATTGACATGACATTGTTAAAAAGCTTTATTTCTTCACAGTTTATGTTTAAGGCAAACCTCTATCTTCAAATTTGGAGGTTCAATATGTTAACTTGTTTCAATGTCTTAAAATACAGTGTTCGCCGGAAATGAGACTAGCAGCATATTTTTACCGTCCTTTGATACAAAGCAGGAGAAAATTTAATATAATAAGGGTTTTTCTGTTGAAAATTTGCCTTTTCCAGCGCATGATACATTTTTTTCTCTCTTTACGAAGTAAGGACGAAAAAGTAAAATGTAGATATTGATGGATGGAACGAGAGGTGTCAGAGTATTTGAAGCTTATTGAACCCTTTATTATGTTTTCATTTTTTTCTATTGTCACAACAAAACAGATTTCTTCAAACTGTTAGCATCAGAGACCTAGACTCCATTAACAGACATGACAACAAGCCCGTCGTGTATCCTGTTTACACTGGTTCTTGGAAGCTCGTCTGTGTCCTGGTTGAAACTCTCTCCTGCCCTCTGGTAGGACATCCCTCCAGATACCTTCTACGTGGCCGCGTATTCACTTTTCAGCCCAGGTATGACTCCATAACCTCCCACTACATTATACAACTGACATATTAGATTGATTTATATGACACACAAGGCGCTCTTATCAATAACATTTTAACTGTCAGAGTTAAAAACGAGAAACGAATAAAATAATGGTAAAGTACTTTAAAAGTGTTGTAAATAAATGCTATCAGATACAAGAGACAAAAACACAAAGAAACGTTTTAGAAAATGCATGGCATTTATATTTCGTTTATCAGAAAAGCTGCCTATACCAGAAAGCATCGTTATTCTCTCAACAAAAAAAGATAATACATAAACAATCCACTCTTTACTTTTATGAAAAAGTGTTTATACTTATCATTTATTGTCAAATGTGTTCTAAAAGCTCTTATACTGCTACAAAACTGAGTAATGGTAGAATGAAGATGAATGAGTACCGAGCAATACTTAAAAGAAGTATGAGCCGTCGGATGCACAGCATTTCAACTTCCCTTACCCTTGCACACATCTCATCAATACGATGCATATCGCACACCTCGTGCAACGCTCGGCGCTGGGCCGCCGCTGGCGATGCCTGCCTGCCGAAGCGCGTAACGGGGTTAAAGGGTCGAAGTCGCGGCAGGGCGGCCGGGCCTGGCCGCGCCGAAGAGCCGCAGTTACTGCTGGGGCAGACGGCTCATTTACGCGTGATAGATTACGGCAGATTGTTCCATTGTTATCCTCCTACTACGGCCGTGATGGGGCATATTCACCACGCCCTCGTGCCTGCTCCAAGCGCATTAGCGCGACAACATTGTTCAACACGGGCCGCAGAATTTACCATTCTGCGGAGCTGACTCGTGGAAATTCGCCCTAAATTCGATGGGATCTTCAAGATTAACCTTCAGCGCTTGATCCATTGTGAAGAGCCGTTCCGCACTCACCTGACAGCAGAAGAGCTTCATGTACTGAGCGGTACTGACAGATGAGAGGGACAGCTACTTTACCTGTATAATTAGGTACCCAACTACATGTCACATTATTTACCCATCTGTCCATCAGTAAACACAACTTCAAAGCAAAGTAATGACTGATTTATTTCACAACTCGTTTTTAATAAAATAATAGGTGAAATCTAGTTTTAGTTTCAATGAATAAATTATTAATTTTTGTTGAAGTTAAACCTAGCATTACCAAGGGGGGAGGCCTCGACGCAGAGATCCACCGATGACTGTTTTTGTTTCATTTTTCTAGAAAGGTAAAGGTAAAGTAAAGATATTGTTTATTATATATTTGATCAAAATATTATGCAATATATAGGGCAAAGCGTTTATTATGGTTTCAGATAAATACACCGTCCTTTGCTAAAGACAGAAAATACGGACTGTTTACTGGAAAATGTAATATTCAGAATACTTTTTAGAAACACAGTATATTAATGTTTGGTGAAGTGTTGTTTAATATTCTGATAATCTACAAAGATTCATTGGGATTGATCTCATATAAACTTTAACAGGGCTTGATAAGTTGACAATACATTCTTTATTTCGTCACCAAGTATAATAATTGTTGTTAGGGCCGACTATGTAATTCTCTTTACTTCAATGAAATCCCAAATGTAGTGCGGTTTTAAACACAATATTGTAAAACAATTCCATGAAATCTAATAAATCTTATTCTTCAAAAAACATTTGTACATTGTCCTGTAATTTCTACCAAGAGTGCATTATATGTTTACAATTCCAAAACAATGAACATAATTTATTCATAATCGCGTACAACACCGTCTAAAAATTAAGCTCTGAGCATTACATTTCACAAGACCCCAAATAATCGCATGGTTGCCCTAGCATAGCGTCAGAGTGGTTCCTCATTGATATCTCTCTTTTAGATTCATAATGGGGACAAATAGTCGGAATATATGTGCTGCCAAAGTATCCATCTCTTCTTGGAATTGCCCACATTTCATTTTTATGTCAATAATTTTCGGACATAAATTCCTTCGTTTTGCTGTCGTTCTGAGAAAATAACATTGCTAGCAAAAATCAATTATTAATTTGTAATTTTTTGAAAAATATCACTACTTTAACATATGGTTTAAATGTCACAACGAGCATCAACTAAAGAAAGGAATGTATGTCGTAACATCGCAGTGCACAGACGAACATGAACAGTGAGTTATGGCCCTTGTAGCTAGAAACAGGGTCATTACGCACTTAAATACGATCAAGTGTGAAAATGCTCCCACAAATTGGATTGTTGCATTAGACGCCCCGGCACTGAATCTTGCCGCCCTCTCTCTGCAAATGACAGGCTTCTCCCCCACTACGAGAGGGCCTACGTTCTTTTACTTTTTATTTATTTATTTTTGTATCCTACGCCCACCCTTGGCATGTTTTCCATTTGGTGACGCGCCGACCAGTATAGACGCGCAGGCTTTCTCCTCAGCTTGCAGTGATCCGCATGCCTACAATGGTCAAGCGCGTAGATGGCGAATCACTGTTGCTCATTTAGCGTTACCTAGGTAGACCACGGACGCGAGCAACTTTGTCCCCGCTGTGTATTATTATTATTATTATTATTATTATTATTATTATTATTATTATTAGGAGGTGATAGACTATTGGCGTGGACTTTTGGAATCATCCCAGCATTCCCTTTATAACCGAGGGAAACCACGAAAACCCCGGTCAGGATGGCTGGCTGGCCCGGGAATCCAACCCGGACCTCCCGATTGCGAAGTCAGCGCGCTACGCACTGCGCCATTTCGCTCGATATGAGAGAGTGCCTACCCGCACGTCTTGCACCTTCGCGGCTCGCGCTGGCAGATGTCCGCCTCTTGCGTGAGGAGTGCCCGCGGAGCAGGCGTTGTGCAGGCCTGGACTAGACTTCCTATATGGGAACGGAAGTAGATGAATGAAATAAATGCAGTGAAATAACACCTGGGATTCGGATTTGTAGGAGTCATTTGGTAATTGGCTGCAAGAGATGAGCCGCGTCTCAGTGTCCGTTGTACGAGCTGACGTCAGCTCGACCAACTGATACGCGGCTCAACACCAAGTATTAAATAACACATTTACAAATGTTAATATTTATTCTGTAAGTTCTGATGTTATTAATCGTGTGCGTCGTTTAAGGTTTTTATTTGATTTTGAGTATAAAATATGAATTAATTCTTTTCAAGAGCCAAACACATCCACATCAGGCTCAAACTGAATGCCAACTCTAAGTTTCCTGCCGTGATTAAATTTTGGGAAGACCAACAGTTTTATTGCTTGGTTGGCAGGTAATTTTTAATTTTTTTAATTAAAAGAAATTATTTTCTTCTTCTATTTATTTTTTAATATTGATTATACGTGCATTGATGAGATAAAATCATTTACGCTTAGTTTGAATTTATAATTTGTCGGTAAGTTTAAAAAATCCAAGATAATTTTGCATTTTACGAAATCATTTTAGTCTGCGAATAATGGCCCTCGTATGTAATAAAATTTCTGTATGTACAGGACTTGCGATAGATCCATAAATCTTCAAATAGGCGCGTGTATTTTTGACAAGTCATGACCTCCGTTATATCAGTTTTCGTAGAGTAAATACTCTTTTGGAAATGTTTAAACACAAGATCAGAAATATCCAACCATTTTTACTTTCAAACGTTTTTTAAAATTTGATATTATGGTACATAATTTATAAACTTTTCAGAGACAATGTCCAACATCATTGTAATATGCTTACAACACATACAAAGAATTTCAAAATATATTATAGTATTACAAATTACAACGGTTTTCAATTAGTTATCTCTTCTTATTTTATATGAGAGCACATTTAACTATTATTTGTTGTTCCATATGGTTTTATCAAAAATCTTGAGATATCATATTTATTTTCTCTCTGAATCTACTTATAAAAATGACACGAGAATAAAACGACTAATATGAATAAACATTTTGCAACTTCGTTCATTTTCTTGTGACAAGATTCTCAGACCATTTAATCCACTGAATGACTCAAAGCTCAATTAAGAGGAACAGTTACTTTCCCTACATGAACAACACAATGTTCTTACAGTCAGACCATATGTTGTTGGCTCTAGCTTTGCCCCCCGGGGCTGATAAGGGGCGCATGTTGCAAAGCCTCTTCGTGCTCATGTGTGCATTCAGAGATACGCTGGCGTCCCACCTTCGTCAGTCAGTTTCCATACTCCGCCAGGGCAAACATCAGAATGTTTCACGTACGTATTATTAATTACATCCATTCAGGAGAAAGGTTGTTAAATTTAATAGGAGCGAGAATGGAAAATTTTCCTAATTCATGATTTGATTCGATATTTTGTTGAGACATGAAGCAGTTATTAAAGGTACACGTGATTTTTATTGATATTGCCGATGATGTGTTTGAAGCTTGCTGTTGGTTCGTAAAACCAGACTGTATTACTGGACCAGTAATGGTTGGTTCGTAAAACCAGACTGGATTGTGAGTATGAGACATTATTTCATTTTTGTCACTTATATGTGAGGCTATAATTTACCAAAATGACATAGACGGTCAAATGATGTGAATATTATTATTATTGTAATTTTGGATCGCAGCTATCAAAGTACCTGCTGAGTAGGTAATGAAAAAGCGCAAAACTTAAAGGACAACCAAAAGACAAAACGTAAAACCAATGAGATAAAATTTTGAAAATACTCTAGTAGTATCTTAAGAAGAATATCTAAAACTCAAACGTTCAATTTCACATTTGCATAGCCACAACTGTTTACCCATTTTGTTTGAATAATTTCTATTTTAGAGGTGTATGTTAAGGCGCAAGTGTTCAGAGAGGAAACGATAGACGAACGGGACCATAAAAGGAGACATGAACAAAAATATTAAAGTAAAGACATACTGACAGTTGGAGTTGTAGGCATAAGTAAAACACTTGTTGAGTATTCTCTATAATTTGGTTTAAGTCAAATCTTAACTGGCAAATGATACTTTGATATTATTATTCTGTGGCAAAGAAATGAAGGATGTTGTTTGAGAGAATACGTTTTGTAAAATAGAAATAAATTATAAATTTTAGGTTTCCTCCGGAGTGACTTTAGCATATTTTCAAATTTTGGTAAATAACGAGAACTTCATGTGTTATTAGTTGCAAAAATGGTGGCAGAAAAATGAAGTGCACATGCTGAAACTGGAATTGTCTCATGTCGTGAATAAAAATTAATGTGTTGACATTAGTGTTGGTAATATGCGAGGACAGCCTTGGATTACATTTTGTATTAATAAATATCAACAGGTTTTCTGAGAACAGATGACAATAAACGCTATGTTTGTTGAACAAGTGAGTAGGATTACTATTATATCGTTGCAACCCCAAAAGACACTGCTCATTTCTGTTACCCTGAATACTACAACTATTTTTTCGGGTGAATGAGAGGAAAAGGGGAAAAAACTGCTTCTTCGAAGTAGACTGAAACCTTGTATTTTAGAAGTTTCTGAAAAATCTCCAGGGGTCCGAGTGAAATATTCAAGAAACTCGAAAGAGTTTTTATATTTGTATATTATTTGATAAATACCCAGAATATTTGTAGTAAATATACATCTATATTTTTGCAGATGCTGAATATTCAATACGTGATCGACTATTCATGTACAACAGCACTGACAATTCTCGCCATAGTAACAGGGGTGCTGTATTGGTATTGCACAAACACCTTCGATTACTGGAAGAAGAAAGGGGTGCCTTACGTACCTCCAACCCCGTTCTTTGGAAACATAGCTGAAAGTCTCTTGGGGACGAAGAACTTCAATTTTGTGCATCAAGAGCTGTACAACCGTTTCAAAGGTCACAGATTTGTTGGAATATACCACGCCAAGAAGCCGGTGCTGCTCCTCCGTGATCCTGAACTGATTAAGTTATGTCTTGTGAAAGATTTCCAGAATTTTCACGACCGTGATTCTGTAATTATAAACCCAGAAAAAAATATTCTTCAACAGAATTTAGTTAATCTTGCTGGACAGAAATGGCGTGTTTTGCGGAACAAACTGTCTCCTACGTTTACTTCCGGAAAAATTAAAAATATGTTTCCTCTTATGATTGAATGCTGTGCAAACGTTGTGAGTTATTTGCAGGAATCTGCAAATAAACAGGAGATCGTGGAGATGAAGGAGGTCCTCGCAAAACTTTCAACTGACGTAATCGGAAGCTGTGCTTTCGGTCTTCAAATGAACGCGTTGGATGATCCTAATTCGGAATTCCGACGAATGGGGAGACACATTTTCGAACCTTCTTTGAAAGCACGGTTTGGGCGGTTTATACGTCTTATGATACCAGACCTAGCCAATTGGATTAATTTAGACTTTATGAGTAGTGAAATGAATGAGTTTTTCCTTCGAATTGTCAAAGAAACTGCTGATTATCGAATGAAAAATAATATTATTAGAAACGACTTTTTTCAACTACTAATCAATTTGAAGCAGACTGGAAAAGTAGATGACGAGGATAAACAAGAGCAGATAAATGGTGTAGGTGATAAGACCCAAGATTTGGATTTCGGTAAGAGAAATTTATTTGAAGTATGTCGTTGAAACACTTAGATATTCAAAGCACATTTTATACTTCTTGAAATCAGTATGTGACGTGAACATGTAATGGATTTCGATATGACATGACATGGTAATATAATGACATAGACATGGAAAATATCTGGATTATTTCGAGCTCTTTCTTTAATAATACGACGTCTACAATGAACATATAAGCCATAAATTTTTCCTACAAAAGCATACACATAATAAAGTAATATTTATTCTTTCGTAGGTAATATTAAAAATGTGTTGCAAATTACACTGAGAAACGTAATCAACTATCGTCGATGACTTACTAACATCTGATTGTTTGTATATTTTAGAAATGAATGATGGTGTAATGGCTGCACAAGCTTTTGTTTTCTTTGCTGCTGGATTTGAAACATCCTCTACCACAATGAGTTTTGCTTTGCATGAACTGGCAGTGAACACAGATATTCAGGAGAAAGTTAGAAAAGAAATAGATACATCTCTTGAAGAAACTGGCGGAGAATTTACTTATGAATCCATTATGAATTTGAAGTACTTAGATAAAGTTGTTTCTGGTGAGTTATCTTCTCTTCTTATGGACAAGAATCATGATTAGTAGTTTTGCTTTCAAGTATTCAGTACTTTTTTAATTATATAATTAAAATATAAATGTCCAGTGCTACAGTGTATTTCAAAACTATATATTTGCGACCACACGACATGACACATCCGTTGAAAATCTCTTCAATTTAATGGCAAATTATATATTTAATGGTTTATACGTTTAGAACTAAATGTAACATTTAATAATTTATATGCTTGATTGTTATGAATCGTGAAGTATTCAGAAGCTTCTATTTCACAGATACATAGAATGATTGGTTAACTGAATAGCTCTAGGTAGCTCATTGGTTAGCGTGCTCACTTTCCACAGCGCTACTCTGGGTTGGATTCCCGGCCTGGACAAAATAATAACGGTGCGCCTTCTTTACAAATATCCCAGTATCTTTTGCAGTATGAAGATAATAAAGACCGCCCTAAGGTTACAAAAACCAGAATATTCGGTTAAGAGATGTCTTCGAGCTAACCACACGAACCCCTTATTCCATGTCCGAGAGGCTGAGTCACCACTGGTCGGCTAAGGCCCGTAGCGGGCTATTGAGTCATAGAACAGGACAGGTGAACTGAGTTCATGACATTGTAGGTGTTATATCCTTTTAGTAGTTGCATGTAAATAAATTCACAACTTTCTACCAAATAATATCTATAAATTATTTTAAGTTTTTCCACAACAGAATAGTACATATAAATGACTTGCGTCTGTAACTTCATTGCATTAACTAATTCTTCAAACATTTGAATATACCTGCTAAATAATGTTAAACATTAATTGTACACTCACATCTATTTTTCAACAATACCACCAATATGCTTTTTTTAAGTCAGTCACACGCCCAACTTCAACAAATCTTGCAAAATATAGAATGGTGCAGCTCATAGTTAAATAAACTTGCTATCATTCAAAATAAATTTGTACGCAAGACTATTGACGCACCAAGGTTTATAAACAGCTAACAATTACATCATAGCAAAACATGGTACATCTCACTGTTTATCTTAATAATTTGGCACACAATTTCTACCATTCCCATCACAATTGCCAATATGCGCTCATCTTCAATCTTGATTGTCCAGCAAGTTCCCATCGTATTATCAAAATTTTCCCCAAGGTCTCCTTAGACCTTTCTTATTTTCTCTCAATAAATATCTAACATGGCTTCGTTAAAACATAAGTTTAGAATAAAAAAATCGGATAAATTATAGTACATATTTAATCAATGTAGTCAGCAAAAACCATTATAGCATAAGCCCGGAAAATTACTGCAGTCAGAAACAAACGCAGCCAACAACTTAAGAAATAATCAAAATTACATTTAGTAATCCTTGGAATACTAAATGTAATTGAACATGGAGAATTTATTTTTTTAAATGTAACATTTCCTGTCGCAGAGACCTTGAGGATGTATTCGGCTGTTATGTTTCTCCGGAGAGGAGTAACAATCCCATACACTATTCCTGGCACCAACGTGCTTCTAGACAAAGGGTCATCAGTGGTGATACCTGTGTACGCCCTCCACCACGACCCTGAGTACTTCCCGGAGCCCAAGCGCTTCGATCCGGAGAGGTTCAGCGACGAGGAGAGAGCCAAGAGGCCCCATTACGTGTACTTGCCGTTTGGAGAAGGCCCGCGCAATTGCATAGGTGAGCTGCGGATGCGCACAGAGCAACCTTTAGGGTCGACCCTACGTGTTACTTGCAGCGCACGGTTCGATTCCTGCAGTAGGCAGGGTGCTCGATACAACTTATTGCACTCACTTCGGGTGGGAAATGTGTTTAGAAAAACGCTACTTTCAAATTCCACTCTAGTTAAGGAAGAGTTGAAACGTTATTTATTATTGATATATTATGAAGCTTGTTATTTAACAAGTAATTTTTTGGGTAATGGGTTTGGGTAATGAGGTTTGGGTAACAAGTAATGTTTTTCATTGGAACTGACATCAATTTTATCCATTGGCTAGTGAAACAGCTATGAGTAGGCAACATAGCTCTTGAGAGCGTAACGCTAAGCGACTGCTTTGAAACATTACTTTTTTTGTATACTAGCATTACAAACGACCTTTTCTGTTGCAAGAGATCGTTCATAATTTGGGAATTTTAAACGGGGGCAGGCAAATGCTGATGTGACGTATGCAGATTCTTATGGCACGGGAATGATTGCGATATCACAGACGAGCTTTAGCCACTAGTCAGAGTCGAAAGTGAATGCGTGAGGGGGGGTAAGATGGTACGGAGTGAAAGCAGAACGGACCGGCCACAGTTAGGCGCGCTTGCAACAGCATGTCATAATACAGCCCTTAGGAGCGTGCAGAAAGAAAGTGTTTTCGTAAAAATTAAGCTTTGATTCTCCTTGTATATTTTATTGAGCCCGGATGGGGAGTTGCTCGGGGTTATGTAGCAAAAACTCATTGGCGTATGGACGGGCTCCTCTTTCATCAATGTTTGGGGGCTTTATTGCAGTTGCATAAAGTCATGTTGACACTGACTAGGATGTGAAGCTCGCTTTCGCGCTAGAAGTACTGCGCCTGCGTTGTTTTCTAAATTAACAGTGTAGCTAATTGCATTCGCAGCATTATGAGAGCTTAAGCGTTGTGATGCTATAACTAAGCTTGGCATATAATTGACTTATTCGGTTGCAAGTCCAATAGGCATGATACGCTTCCTCTATGATGCGACAGCGACAAAATTTATTTGTTTTATGTAGTTCTTTGTCTTAGTCTAAAATTGATATCAACTGCTATGATTATAATATTCTGTACATACAAAATATAAAAGCAGTACCATTCATGTCTGAAGTACTATTGTACAAACGGAACTTAAGACAGCAATAATTTATTAATTAATTAATATGTTTGCACTATACATTATTATACATATGTTTTATACATATAATATATTCATATGTTTGCACTATACATTATTGTTATATAATTATTCAATAATATTTAGAGCTTTGCTTTCAAAATGCACTTTTGCCCAGGAATGCGCTTTGGGCTCCTGCAGACCAAACTGGGCCTCGCCGCGCTGCTCTCCAAGTACGAGTTCGACGTGTGCGAGCGCACGCAAGTCCCGCTTCACCTGAGCCCCAGCAGCTTCGTTCTCGCCAGCACAACGGGCACCGTCGTGCGCATTAGCAACAGACGCAAACTTCTCTACTAATAGACATACGATCTTCATCCATGATTTTGTGTTATGATAAGAAATGAATGCAGGTACGTTATGAACAATTTCATATTCAGGCCATTTTACTTTTCCTGCATAGACTACAGTGAATGGAATGTTAAGTATTGGAATCTCCTTATCAAAATGATCTCGGCATTTTCGTCCTAAACTCGGGTTTTAACGTTCTTTTGAACTGTAACTTGTACATACATCTGGATTAAGTGTTGTTCCAAAGATGATTATGATTGGTGCAGGGGCGAGGAGAGACCCCAAACACCGTTTAATGTTCAAAACCACGAAAATATTTCTATGGGCAAAAATAACAACCTGTTATTTTTGTGTTCCACTGTTAACCTGGCAGTGGGCGCTTTGCGTTTCATAACTAATTAAGGTGTGGTGTGACTCGGTCACTCCTCAATAAAATGAACAAGCAAACAGTTCATAATACATTTTTGATTTTATAAATATGTTTTCATTTTAAACTTTATATAAAGAATTTAGAACAAACAAGTGATGTATTAATTGCAATAAATTTATTGTTTCAAAGCAAATTACAAATGTACAGTGTGTTTAATGAACATACACGAGCTTCACAAATAAAACAAAATAATGTATTTTTCTCTCATTTCTGTCACATAAACGTAAGGAACTTTTTGTATACCAAGAAAATATTTTAAAAGATTAAAAATATCACAAATAATGTAATTAGTGAAAAAGTTCATATTTCTTTCACACAACGTGTTTTACAATAAATAAAAACATAGAGGGATCCTAAGCTAAAGAAAATTAAAAGGCAACTTTCTAGAGAATACCGCCGTCACAGCCAGAGTTCGTCACCTCTACATGCAGCTATGATGCCAGTGAAGCAGCAGGGCAATGAAAGGCATTTTGCTAGAGATGTATTTCCCGTTTAGAGAGTGCGGCGCAGGTCTTACAGTCAGTTGGCCAGGAGAGCATTTTTTCAATTCTTATTCAAAATTGTATTGAATAAATAATGAAAGAGAACTGCTTTGATAGACATCTCGATCAATACGATGGTTAACTTCAATATATTATTGTTGGATGTCGTAGTACTCTATTAAACAACGGGACACAAAGGGCTCGCAAATCATTGCTTCCTTTTTCGATTCCCCATGTATTTCTTTGGAGTAAGGCATCGATTTGATCATCCTCCATAAAGCCTATTCTGTATACTCCAGATCACTATCCGGAAGAACTGAGAGATATGTGAATCTCTTGTCAAATTAAGTGTACTTTTTTTCGCTTCAGAAGAAAGAAGTATGAAAATATGAATAAGAATGAATATGAAGTCAATTTGATTAACTTTCTTATTTATTAGATCCATTTTCTTAATATTTAAAAAATATTTTAATCTGTATGCTTGAGAACGAGTCTTATGTTTCATTCTCAATCCGCATTTCTGCTGCGGTGACAGAATGATTCGCGAGGCGGTCGGGTGGCTCTCGCTGGAAGCGCTTTGCGGTCCGCGGCGTGACAGGCGCTCGAGGCGCGTCAATGCTACGTTTGGGCAACGTCGCGCCATTCAGGGCCCCGCGACCGGACGTTTCATTTCATACGTTTCTCCCGGCGTGGCGCTCCTTTCACCACGAAGTTTGTTTTTTTCCCCTTGGGTTGCGTTTTCATTTAAACGGTCATGATAGAAGTCAAAGCGAGTGAGGTCTGCTTTCGTTCAGTTAGTGAACATGTTGAAAATATTTGCCAATACGTTTCGTACTTGAATGGTTGTGCGTCTGGCAACTTCAAATGACGAAAGATCCATCATTCTAGGTGGTAAAATATGGACAAAAGGTCTTTACTATATCTAATGGATTGCCTACAGGCAGGACGTCATGTAATTATGGTTCTTGAAAATTCGTCCAACAGAAACCAGAGTTGCATTTGTGTTACTCAGGATAATAAAATGAATGCCGGATTGATAAAGATTTAGTGTTGTGACAATTATAGAGAGAAGGTCTGTCAGGCGGAATAGTTCGAATGCCGCTTGATCATTCAGTATGTAGTTTTTTCTTATATGTCAAATTATGATTACTCTGATGGCGTGGCCTGATGTTCAGTCCCATCCTCCTTGCAACTTCTTTCCAGCCTTAACTCATTTTTGTTGGTCTAGCCGGGCGGCATAGAACCATGACATGCAGTAGATACACTCGTTGGCATGGTCCTAGATCGAGCCATTTCCTTAAGCCTGTTTTCTGGCCGATAGCAGAGTGAGGCCGGTGTTATCAGGTTCTCTCAGGACGGGTTTCTGAGCTGGAGCTACATCGGTACAGCCACGTAGTTCCTTATTTTACCAATATTGAATCAATCTTACCCAAGCCCACAGTCTACGTTTGTAAACCACACTGACTATTAGGTTCCGCAGGCACATCAAAAAGTGAATAGGAACCAGTAGAGGGCAAGGGATGGGATATGCAGGACGGGATGTGGCTGCAAAACGGTCACGGCGTGCGGGTGAAACGGACAAAGCGTGTTGACCGGGAAGAAGTGGTCAAGCAGAATAGGCTGGATGGAGGTGGGGGAGGCAGGAGGCGTTGATAGGAGAACCATGATAGCCCAATAGGGTGTATGGAGACGGACATATTATTGTGATGTAGAAGAACATATAGAGCGAAACAATCTGAATGGTAGGGGCTGGGAGCGTTTGCGGGACGTCCTTGAAGTGCTAGATGCGGCGTGAGCGAGACACGGACGAAGCGTGATGAGTGGGAAAGAACAGATAGAGCGGAAGGGACTGAATGAGCGGAGTGGGGATAGTGGCAGGACTTCCATGGCGTACCAGGTACTGCTTGCGGGTGAGATGGGAAGCGTGTGCGGCGAACGAAGGTGCTTCATAGACGAATGTGAGAAATAAATATATTCTGGCAACTCAGAATAATCAATAAGCATACATATGGATTAAGTGTTGTTCCAAAGATGATTAAGATTGGTGCAAGAGGTGAGGAGAGACCCCAAACACAGTTTAATGTGAAATAAAAATAAAATATTTTTAACCTAGCAAATAATTTAACCTGGCAATGGGCGCCCTGTGTGTCATAACTAGTTAAGGTGCGGTGTGACACGATCGTTACTCCGCAGTAAAATGAATAAGCACACAGTACATAATGCATTTTTGATTTAATAAATATGTTTTCATTTTAAAATTTATACAAAAATTTTAGAACAAACAAGTGATTTATCAACAAGAAAAGTTATAATATAATATTTTCCGCATTCAAACTGATTACATCAACATTTTTATATATAGTTTTGGTGTTGTTAAGAGATTTATAGAAAATAAGTTAACATATCTATGCTTGTACACGCAACATTTTAAAATATTTTTTAAATCTATTTTAAAGTTTTATTACCCACTGTGTCATTATATTACTTTTGTTGAATACGTGTTTTGCACAATTGTTGAATAGATACTTGTGAAGAAGTGTGTGGAACGTTGTGCAGATCAAAAATTATTTATCATAACTTATGAGTAAAATATTAATAATGCCATACCCTGAAAAGTGATTATACATTTGTGGAAAGAAAGAAATGTATTATATGAGGAATTCAAGAAAATCAAAACTTGACATTTGACCATCAATAATTATTAACACATTTCTGGACATCAAAACAAAATTTTGACTCTTGTAACAGAATATATTTATGTACATAATGATTATATGTTTTTTTTTTCATTTTAATATAATTTTATTCAGTAAAGGTGCAATATAATTTTACCCTTTTAGTAGAACTAAAAGGCTTTGATGCAGTGAATGTCTGCTTTTAGGTCCAAGGTCTTCGTGCAGGTAATTCCATTAATATAACTTTTTCTACTTTTGGTGCAATTTCATTTGCTCCAAGGAATTCTTCAGAAATGAAAGCTCTTCTTTTTTAGTGAACTACCTCTGTGCTCTTTTTTATTCAATTACGATGAAGTAAAAGAGTTGCCTTTACAACAGGGATGTCAATCTGAGTTCGCACGCGCTACTTGCTACATGCACTACCCAAAGCCCTTGCGAGCATTGGCTACTTCCCCTGACTATATTTTTTCCTTCCAAATACAGGAAGAGGTGTACTCACGCACGCTGAAACCGAGAATGTACGCGCAGAGCATGCATCAAGTTTCACAAAGAGAGCATGTTTCATACGAAAATTTGATTTTTCCCGTTTTCTATCAAAGCATAATTATATTTCTCATTCCTTTACATTAATTTTATAATTCTCCCTTAAGTAAACATACTCGCCAAAGGGGAGGAATTTGAATTGAAAATTATTTGTTGTAGTGTAAACATTTTTTATATTATACATGAAGATATGTTTTCCTCGTTTTAAATACTTTTAGCTCACTAAAATTTGACATAGTTGACAAGTCTATATGGAGAATGAACGCACAAACATACAATTTATACATATGAGCTACAAGTACAATATTAAATTACATAAAATAAATACACTGACGGAAAAAAAGTATTGCAACACCCCGTTTGCATTGTACAATTTATTTCTCCGTTCAGAAACAACGCAAACAGAATACTACACATAATTACATGAGCAGAGCTGTCAGACTCGCAAGTCCGGCAACAGAGAGAACCATGGACTAGAAACGCCACATTAATACTGCATGTCTCCGCCGCGGGAAGTACGGCAAGCCCTGATGCGGTCTGGCGTCCTATCATAGGTGACGAATAGAGTCCTGCGAAATAGTGTTCTGCGCCTCCTGCTCCACCTCACGCAGAGCAGAGTTGTTGACACAGTCGCAGCGCGGGTCAGGCGTTGGCCAATCATGTCTCACACATGCTCGATCGGGGACAAATCTGGTGCGGCTGGCCAGGGCAGTTGATGGACATCGCGGAGAGCGTGTTGCGTAGCATGTTCTCGGGATGGGCTCTACGTGACGTAGATGAACACATTCTGGAGCTTACTAGTGCGATGCCGCTCTTGCACACGACTATGACTGTCGCGCAAGCAGAAGCAGCTCTCATCAATGATCACCCTTACATGCAATTTTGTCTCCCAGCTGATCCGCACATTGCACCACTCCAGATGTGCCTGACGATGGCTCGGCGTGACAGCTGAGCTAGCGGTATCAGCGATTGTCATCCTGCAGCAAGTAACCGGTTCCCAACGGTGCGTGGAGGCATGTTGGGGCCACATGTTCTTGTATCTCGGCGTGGGTGGCCGTGCGGTGCCCTCACGATGCGTCGATCTTGACGTTCGTCAGTGCTCCGCGGTCGCCCCGAAGTTGTCTACGGCTACTGCTCGTCTACCCATCGTCGCCAGCACCGCAGCACCGGCGTCGCATCACGGTCCACGTGGTCAGCAATGCGCCGAAAGGACCGTCCGGCTTCGCGCAGGCCAACAATTCGACCCCGCTCAAACTTGTCCAATTGCTTAAAGGACGAACAAGTGCGACGCCGTGACATACCTAAGTCCCGACTAGACTTTATCGCAGTGGAGAGCAAAAACGCCGCGGAGTAGATGGCTCGTTCGGGCCATTTCGTCACGCTTCCATAACGCTTCCGTAACAAGACTTCAGTCACCCGTGAATTATTAATCACAGCTTCTACGATCTCTAACGTCCCTTATCACCTACTTGATTGCTCGTGCCCTTCCCGGTGTTGCAATATTTTTTCCGCCAGCGGGTATAGATATAAAATGCAGATGCAATCCGCAACACGACAAAACTCAGCACTTTTATACATTACTTTAAAATGTTGCGTTGTAGAGTCTTAAAAGCAGATTTCTATGTTCTGTAGGTACATGTGTTTTGTTTTCAATTCCCTAAGCTACTTGATACATTTTTGTTCATTTTATTTCAAGTGTAGTCTTTAAGAGAAAAACACTTCACTCCATATTTGCATTTGTGTAAGTGAAAAGCATATTATTAAAATTAGTAGTTATATTTGTAATAATAATTTTAGCACGAGTACTATATTAGTTTGATAAACGTTTGTAGTGTTAATATATTGTAACTTGACATAGTTACCAATATTGCAAGGCGCCTATACACATAAACAGAAATATAGTCATATTGTAGACAGTATATTTGACTTTTGAAGGACTTTTCTCTATTGAAGGTTGAACTCAAGAGGATAATATTGAAGTATCATTTACTAGCCATTTGGCTGGTAATTCAGGTGGAGGGGGATTTCAAAAATTTCTCCCTTGGTGCGCCACTGATATTAATTCAGAATTATGTTCTACAATAATACAAACTACTTTTACTTTAAAATACTGATCTTATTCTCTCAAATACTTATTTTAAAAAATTATTGTTCAAGAATGTAATGAAGGTCCAAAAATTAGAATTTTTCATTGTAATTTTACTTGCAGAAATGTGAGGATTCTTGCATGGGTGCCGCTAGTGGAAAATAAATTATTAATTCCCTCTTATGAGCGGAGAGCTCTTTTAACAGACAATAATATTTGCCTATTAAATCTTCTAATCCGAAGGGAGGAGGTTAATGCAATTATTGCACACTTATGTAAACGCGATTACGAATTCAAGATCTCTCAATTATTTTTTTAAGATTTACTGTGAATTCATAATTTGAACTACGACTAATGTATTTAATTTTAATGGAACATTCCTTTACTTTAGTAGATGAAATGGGAATTAATATCGCTTTCGGGTAATAACTGTCAACTGACCTTCAAAAGACTGTCATGGACCAGTGATTCAGTGACATACCGCGATCATGGAGCTATTTGTACAACTCTCACTTTTAAATCTCCTGACAGTTGCTCTGGTCGCTGTACCCTCGAACGCGTGTATGCTAGTCGCCTGCGGCCTTGACGTGAATGTTTTTACAACAGTTATGTCCAAATCGATGCCACCAGCGGAAGTGCGTAACACGGGTAACACGTCGAAACCCCTTCACGCAGTTGACCACCACCCCACAACAGAACAGTAGGTAGTCAAATTCGCCCAGAATCGCTTTTGCACTTTACACATTTACAGTTAGACAATATTTAGATAAATAAATTAACAACGTTTGTTGTTATTTGTAGTTATATTTTTACTTTTATTTTTCAGTACACATCCTCTCTTTTACTTGCTGTTCTACTAATTTAGAAAATCGCAGGGTTACTAGAAATCATTTACTTTCTTGACACTCGTTGCTTTGCAAAACTCATGCTCTGCCACGGCATAACGAAGTGTTCCACGAGTGAAAAACCCATGACATCACTGCTTTACAATGTCCATTGTGTTCTTCTGCTGCCTTTAATGCCTTTTTTAATTTTTTTTTCCACCCGTGGAACTTTGTCTGAGAGGTGCGTCGTATTATGCCGTTGCCGTAAGGTTCCGTGAGCTTTTAAAACCCGCCTCATCGATTAAGGACTAATTGTTACAAAGTAGAAACACAACCATGGCGAGCTGTGCAAAGGTGGCCGTGGCCCTGGCGACGGCTGTGCACCGCAGCCCGTGGTGAATGACCGGCGCCCGCCCAACCGTCCCGGCCTCGCGAGTCTGGGCCAAAGCCATCCACTCGTCTCTCGTTTTCCCGGTGAGAACCCACTGATCAAGTGACTGGACCCGCATCAATGGAACGCGCTGCAACGAAGAATACGGGGAAGTGGTCGTATATTAAACCATGCATAGGTTTAAACAAAATGCTGTTCATGCAATCCACAGAAATAAATGACTCTTGAATGATCCTGAGTGAACAGGAAAATGTATAACAATAATTTCTGTATGATTTGGGGCGGCCGCGCTTTGGTCTTTTAAACTCTTTAAAAATGTAACATAACAATTTAATAACAAGATGTTATTTTGAGGTAGTGAGCTCACAGAAAGTAGAGGACATTTGTAGTTTAAATTCAATTGATTAAAGAATCTGTTAACTATGACTGTAGGGAATCTCTTTTTTTCTGGTTCTAACAACACTCCCTTCCAATCAACTGAAACAATATCCCGTCAGAATTCTGAGCCCGTCTGCGATTTATGTCATAAATGAAGCTGCCCAAGAGTGGGGCAAATTAAATTTAGAATAAAATGAACCGACGGCAACGTCACACTGTATGCTACATTAACAAATATAGAAGATAATAAAATATACAAGAAAAAATCTAAAATGTCGAACAAAAAACCAATTTGAGAGCTCAGAACATGAAAAAGTGTCTTGTCTTGTTTGCTTAGAACCATTTCAAACATCAAAGGGTGGAGAAAATGGGTACAATGAAGAAATGGGCTCATGAAAACTGTACTAAAATGCAACATGT